GTTGTGAAATCCGTGCACCAAACAATCAACAACTCAAGTGTACCTAATGATGGAAAGAGAATCAAATGATAGAACCCTCCGCAAGCTCAACATGGAATACCTCGAGCCAAAATTCTATGAAACCATCACACTAAGGAGAAACAAAACTCACGAAATAAGCACAAAGGATCGTATCCCAACATAACCGGCTGCCATATGCGTCCCGACCCAAACGTCGGTCCACATGGAATACCTCGAGCCATGATGCTCACAATCAACAACCATATGCATATCAACACAAACAAGCGAAGTGCATAACTATACCATGGTGAAATAGATAGCACATTATACCACAAAAGGAAGACCATAAACAAGGCACAATCAACTATTCAACACCCTAAAAAACATCGTGCTCGAATTCCACCACTAGGCAGAAATAGAATCGCATTATGTGTGTAACTCATGGAACATATCAGACACATATAAGATCAAATCTAACCAAATGAGACACCTCTCATCAATAGTTGTGTTGAGTAAATAAATTCGACCCGATGTAGAATACACATTCTTATTAGGCCTACCAGTGGTCCTCAGATCAATTTTGATCCTCCCAAAATAGGTAGATAACCTTCAAAAAGTCAACAATACCCTATCCATAACACATACAATCATTTGTCAACCTCTTAACATACCCTCACCGCCTGCAACCAATGAAGAATGTGCCTCTGAGAACCCCCACTCTCCAAATCCCAAGAATCCCTATGTCTGATCCCAACTCCACCACTCATATGACTAACACCTCCCTCATTCACAATCATCTCACAAAAATACTTTCATAATTCTTCCGTTCCACATAGCAAAGTACATTAGTAGTCCATCAACCAGGCGATTACTGTATTAGCACTAAAGCATCCGCAAGTCAAAACATAGTGCGGTTTCTGAAAAGCGTGCCATTTTCAGGTGATACCATATTGTGAAAACATTCTTATAAACATTTGAAACCCTCAATGATGTCTAGAACTCATGACCTTCCCGTTGTAGCCGAACTGCAACTTGTACATGCTAATCTCAATCCCACATATCACACCGCATGTATCATGACATTATATAAAAATACGAAAACTCCATTATTAACTCTAAATCACAAGTAGCATAGACACCCCATCAACCAGAAACCTTCCATTTGACCCCATCCGCAAGAAAATCACAACGCGCAACATACTCCTCATACATGTAGAAGACATCGGTCTCAAGCCGTGGTCGATACCATCGAGAACTTTTCAAAACCCATTCGCACATAACCAAGCCACCGGAACTTAATCCCTCTAACTCAACCAAGCTACATAGGTAGCTAATCCAAGAGTATTGCCAGAATACACCGTCAAAACCTTACCACACCAAAAGAATCAAAAGAACCGATCACTTCTATTGCAATACTGATCCATTCCTGTCACGACCCCCAATATCCCAATCGTGAGGTCACCTATCCATTCCTGTCACGACCCCAATATCCCAATCGTGATGGCACCTAGTCTTTAAGACTAGGTAAGCCTAACACATGATAAGTTTTAACAGAAATAACCAATATACTGTTAAACATTAAACTGATAAATGAAATAACATAGCTAAAATCGAGCAATCGTTGTACAACTCCAAAATCCGGTAGTACAGAGTCATAAGTTCTACTGCGAGTAACTAATAATATTAATTAAATCATTATTTAGAATAAAAGTAACAATAGTAAAGTAAAGCTCCAAAAGGTTACTCCAAGGCTTGCGAGCGTAATGCCATGTATAACTTGAAGTCTGCGTAGAAAATCTCCAACAGCTAGCTAATGACCGTTTCGCTCAGAGTTACTTGGATCTACACAAAAATATGCAGAAGTGTAGTATGAGTACACCACAAAGGTACCCAGTAGGTATCATGACTAGATCCAGCGGAGTAGTGATAAGGTAAGTCAAGTCACTCACTAGACAATGAAAAATTTATGCAAAGTATTAATATAAAGCTAACAGTGAAAAGGAATATCAATATAAAGCTAACAATGGAAGAATGTAAATATAAAACTAACCATGGAAAGTAAAGGCAATAAATGACAACAAGGAGTAAGCATGTGATAAAGTAGCTAAATAATTAGAACACAGTTACAACACAAGTGATATCAGTTAAGGAAAAACACATGCATGATAGCCCAAATAATCAAGCAGTTCCAACACAAGTTTTTCAACAAGAACCACTCCGAGGTACCGCACCTCATAATCACATATCACAACTAACAAATCACAGTTCTTCTTTATAACACCGCGTGAGCCTTCCATTGGTTTTAAAAACATTTTTCCCGAAATAGCTTCACGCACTATATCCCCCTTATCTCGTCGTGTGTGCTTCAAATGAAGTATTTCTCTTACTAGCAACACGCAAATAAATCCTCCTTATCCCGCCGCATGCGCATTAATATCACCACCCTTATACTGTTGCATGCGTATCTCATCACAACATAATAATCAACTCGCACCACACGTGCCCATATGCCACAACATTTCAAAAACAACAATACCAATATCACAACATAATATAGCTCCCAGCTCAATGATGATGTGTACAAGAGTCTCAACGACGACACAATATAACTGATAAACTCATCAAGGAACGATATTCCATGCAATAATAACTTCAAATAAATGCATAAGAAGAAACTCAATGTAATCCATGTATTAACAACGTCAATTAAGTGCATATAGGAATAAACCCAACAATGAAAGATATAACATGTAATAACAACTTCAATTAAATACATATAAGAACAAACTCAACAATGAAAGAGATAACATGTAATAACAACTACAATTAAATGCATATAAGTAACCTAAGAGTCTAAACCAGTCAATTTTTAGATATAAGCCTGTGTATACACTCGTCACCACATGTACACGTCTTCCAAAGAATTCAAATAGTGCAATTAAACCAAATTCTAGGGGTTAGGTTCCCCCACATAAAGTTAGACAAGATACTTACCTCAATTAAGCCAAATCAACACTCAAAAATAGCTTTTCCTTCAAAATTTGCCTCCGCACGGCTCAAATCTAATTAAAAATGACTTAATAATATCAAACAATGCAAGTGTAACCAATTCCGATAAATAAAGTCATGATCTTTCTTAAAGTCAACAAAAGTGAACCCCGGGCTCGTCCGGTCAAAACCCGAGTCCAAGGGTAGATCTCGACCACGAGTCAATATATGTATTTTATTTTCAAATCCAAGTCCAATTCGACTCTCATCTCAAATTTTTATTTTTGAAAACATATAAAAAATCCCCCAAAATTCTATTCAAATTCCATGGATTAGAGGTTAAATCTCATAGATAATCATGTAATATAATTGAAAATGGATTGAAATGACTCACCCAATTGTTGTATGTGAAAATCCCTCCTCAAAATCACCTCCTATCGAGCCTAGGGTTCTAAAATGTGATACATGAAGGTAAGTCCCGTAATTCCAGCCCTTTTGTTCAGGTCCAGAAGCCGCAAATGCGACCTTGGGTTCGCAATTGCGAACCATCATAAATGCGGAGATTACCTCACAAATGCGGTGCCTGACAATCTAGGGAAACATCGCAAATGCGAAATTGACTTTGCATTTGCAAAGTTGGTCTCTTTCGCAAATTCGGTCAGTTGGTCACAAATGCAAACCACCTAGCCTAAGGACAACCAGCGCAAAGCGAGTAAGACATCGCATTTGCGAAACCTGAGCCCTCCCTGCCTACTTAGCTATTGTGATGCTGGTGCTCGCAATTGCAACAACTGCAGCATCAGCACACCAACAACTTGGAACAAGTTCAAACACGTCTGAAACTCACACGTGACATCTGGGCTCCACACTAAACATCTACATAACTCTAAAAACATCATAAAAACTCGTTCGCATGATCAAACACCAAAATAACACCCGGAACCATGAAATGGACATCGAAGAACATGAAATTTCACAATTAACTCAAGAATCACTAGAATCACAACCAAGCGTCCGATTCCTATCAAACCAACTCAGAATGACACTAAATTTTGACGAAAAGTTTCAAAGGACAAAACAGACCTATTCCAAGTCCCAAAACAAAAATCCCTACTCGACCATTAATTCAACCTACAGTCAAAGTCAAGAAATTTCTAAACCTTCAAATTGCAAATTTTCGGAAAACAATCCAAATCAACTTAGGGACCTCCGAATTCAATTCCAGGCATACTCCTAAGTCCAAAATCACTATACGAATCCCTTGGAGTCATCAAAACACCATTCTGGGTTTTTTCCACAAAAGAAATCTCGGTCAACATTTCCAACTTAAGCTTCTAATCCAAGAACCGAAGGGTCCAAATCAACCCAAAACCTTCCCGAATGAACCCGACTATCCTTGGAAGTCATAAAACCACAAATGCACATAAGTGAAGTATCAAAAGGGGAAACGAGGCTCAAATACACAAAACGACCAGTCGGATCGGTACATTCTCCCCTCTTAAAACAAACTTTCATCCTCGAACGTGCATAGAGACATACTTGAATTGCCAGAAAGGTGAGGATAACGACTTCGCATGTCGTTCTCAGTCTCCTAGGTCGCCTCCTCGACTTGTTGACCCCTCCATTGAACCTTCACGAAGCAATGTTTTTTGACCTCAACTTGTGGACCTACCTGTCCAAGCTAGCTACCGGCCCCTCAACATAAGTCAAATCCTTGTCCAATTGGGCTGAGCTGAAATCTAATACATGTGACGGATCAACATAATACTTCCGGAGCATGGATACATGGAATACCGGGTGAACACGCGATAAGCTGGATAGCAATGCAAGTTTGTAGGCTACCTCACCACTCTCTCAAGGATCTCAAAAAGACTGATATATCGAGGGCTCTACTTGCCCTTCTGCCAGAACCTCATCACACCCTTCATGGGTGACACTCTGAGCAAAACTCTCTTACCCACTATGAATTCTACATCACGAGCCCTCCGATCAGCATAATTCTTCTGCCTGGACTACACAGTACGAAGCCTATCCTGAATCAACTTCACTTTCTCCAGGGCATCCCGAACCAAATCAGTACCCATTAATATAGTCTCCCCTGGATCAAACCAACCAACTGGAGAACGACACCACTTCCCATATAAGGCCTCATAAGGAGCTATCTGGATACTCGATTCATAGTTTTTCTTGTAGGCAAACTCTGCAAGTAGGGGGAACTGATCCCATGAACCCCCGAAGTCAATAACACATGCACATAGCATGTCCTCCAGGATCTAAATCGTGCGCTCAGATTGCTCGTCCGTTTGGGGATGAAATGATGTGCTCAGCTCGACCTGTCTACCTAACTCATGCTACAGAGCTCTACAGAAATGCGATGTGAACTGCATGCCTCGATAAGAGATAATAGACACCGGCATACCATGAAGATGGACAATCTCACGAATATAAATCCGAGTCAGTTGCTCAGAAGAGGTGGTTACGACCGAAATGAAGTGTGCATACTTAGTTAGTCTATCCACAATAACCCATACGACATCAAATTTCTTCAAGGTCTGCAGAAGTCCGACTACAAAATCCATGGTGATAGCTCCCACTTTCACTCTAGAATATCAAGCATCTAAATCAATCCACCTGGTCTTTGATGCTCGTACTCCACCTGTTGAAAGTTCAAATACCGAGCCACATACTCCACAATATCTTTCTTCATTCTTCTCCACCGGTAGTTTTATTTCAAATCCTCATACATCTTTGCGTCACTTGGGTGAATGGAATACCACGAACTATGGACCTCTTCAATAATAAACTTACGCAACCCATCCACATTGGGTGCACAAATCCGGTCGTGCATCCGCAACACCCCATCATCTCCAATAATCACCTCTTTGGTATCACCGTGCTGCACCGTGTCCTTTGGGATAAGCAAGTGGAGGTAATCATACTGACGCGCCTTGATGCGCTCAACCAAAGAAGACCGTGGAATTGCGAAAGCAAGAACCCTGCTAGGCTCTGAAATATCTAGCCTCACGAAACTGTTGGCCAAAGCCTGGACTTCCAATGCTAACGTTCTCTCCCCAACTGGAATATAAGCAAGACTGCCCATGCTCTCAGCCTTCCTACTCAAAGCATCGGCCACCGCGTTGGACTTCTTGGGACGATAAAGAATGGTGATATCATAGTTCTTTAGTAGCGGAAACTGCATCCACTTCCTCACATTCAGATCTTCTTGCTTGAACAGGTGTTGTAGACTCCTGTGATCTGTGAATACCTCACAAACACGCTGTAGAGATAGTGCCTCCAAATCTTCAATGCATGAATAATGTATTCCAACTCGAAATCAGGTACTAGGTAGTTCTTCTCATGGGGCTTCAATGGACGTGAAGCATAAGTAATTACTCAACCTTCCTGCATCAATACAAACCCAATGCCAATCCACGAAGAATCATGATAAACAGTATAAGAACCCGATTACTGAAGGTAAACCTAGAAGTGGAGTTGTGGTCAAGGCAGTCTTGAGCTTTTGAAAGTTCTCCTCACACTCGTCCCACAACCTAAATGGGGCACCCTTCTGAGTCAATCTAGTCAAAGGAGATACGATGGATGAAAGCCCCTCCATAAATCAGCGATAATACCTATTCAAGCGTAGAAAACTCTGGATTTCAATAGTAGAAGACGGTATGGGCCCACTTTGAACTGCCTCCAACTTCTTTGGATCCACCTTAATCCCTTCACTAGACACCACATGACCCAAAATTGCCACAGAGTCAAGCCAAAACACAAACTTGGTGAATTTAGCATATAACTTCTTTTCCTTTAAGGTCTGGAACACGATCGTGATCAAGTTCTGCTCATGATCCTCCCGGCTGCGAGAATACACCAACATGTCATCAATGAACACGATGCCAAAAAATCAAGATATGGCTGGAATACATTATTCATCAAATGCATAACGGTTGCTGGGGCATTGGTCAGCCCAAATGACATCACCAAAAAATCATAGTGACCATAGCAAGTCCTAAATGCTATTTGCAGAATGTTTGAATCCTGAATCTTCAGCTGATGATAGCCCAAACTCAAGTTAATCTTCGAGAATACCCGAGAACCCTGAAGCTGCTTGAACAAATTATCAATGCGCGGTAGTGAGTACTTGTTCTTGATTGTAGCTTTGTTCAGCTGCCTTAATCAATACACATCCTCATAGAGCAATACTTCTTCTTCACAAATAGAACAGGAGCACCGTAAGGTGAGACACTCGGTCGGATGAAACCCTTATCAATGAACTCTTAAAGGTTTTCCTTTAATTCCATGAACTCTACTGGTGCCATGCGATTTGGTGGAATAGAGATAGGCTGAGTGCCTGACACCATGTCGATACCAAAATCGATATTCCTATCGGGTGGAATGCCCGACAGATCTACTGGAAACACATCTGGGAAATGTCTCACCACCAAAACTGACTCGACAGTAGAAGTATCAGCATTGACATCTGTCACAAAGGCTAAATATGCTAAGAACCCCTTCTCAGCCATCCATTGTGGCTTCAGTGATGACACGAACCTACTAGGAACATAATCCAATGTACCTCTCCACTCTAACTACCCTAAACACGGCGTAGCCAATGTTACAATCTTGGTATGACAATCCAGAATAGAGTGATAGGGCGACAATAAATACATGCCCAATATCACGTCAAAGTCCACCATACTAAGTAGTATAAGGTCAACCCTTGTCTCATAACCCCCGATGGTGACAAAACACGACCGATTGATACAATCTACCACAATGGAATCCCCAACTGACATAACACAAAAACAGGGGCATTCAAAGAATCATGGGATATATCCAAATATGAAGCAAAGTAAGATGACACAAACGAATACGTGGAACCCAGATCAAATAAAACTGATGCATCCCTATGACAAATCAGAATAATACATGTGATAACAGCATCTGATGTAACAACCTCGGTCCTACTCGGAAAAAACGTAGCAACGGGCATGGCCTCCCCTTCTAGGACCACCTCTACCCGCCTGTCCTCCACCCCTAACTGGCTGTGCTGGTGGAGTGGCAACTGGAGCAGCAACCATAGCCTGTGAACATTGTAGAACCTGTAGACCATGTGGACCCTGTGGACCTACTGGAGGTGCACTCCTCCTAAGCCTGGGACAGTCCCTCACCATATGCCTTGTATCTCCACACTCGAAACAACCTCTCTGTGGCGTGGCTGTTGGAATTGAGTCTGACCCGGTCAACTAGAATGACTACGGAAGGCACCCCATGTAAAAGGTGCACTATAAAGTGGTTGTGCATAATGGGCGATCTGAGACCTCGTGATGGCCGGAATGCTGCGAGTAGCCTGAAGCGCAGAATGAACTGGTCAACCTACATAACCTCTACCATGACGAGCTGAAACTGCAGCGCGGTAACCACTAAATCCTCCTAAATCTCGAGGCTTCTTGGCCTCCCTATCTTCTCTGTCCTGGACAAGTATACGCTCCAACCTGCGAGCAATCCCCACAATCTGCTGCAATAGAGTATCAATCTCCAAATCCCGTGCCATACTGAATCTAAGATCATAACTGAGCCCCTCAAAAAAGCTGCAGACTATCTATAACTCTAAAATGCATCCCGCTTGAGCTAATGTACTGAACATACTCGGGAAATGTGCCAAGGTCTCCTATAGTGCATGAATAGTAGCAGGCGTCACTGGTGCCTGCTCCCTAGCCGGAGCTATTAGTGGCTCCTTAGTCGCTGCTCTTGAAGGTGCTCTAGCTGCAACGTGAGTAAAATATATCTCTATGCCTATATGTCTAAGGTTACAGTTAAATCATCAAGTACACTCACATTTATCACACTCATGGTGGCTTGTACAAATGCCCCTCACCATCACACACACAACAACACTCAGCATTATATGGGTGAGTGGCACGAATCCTCTCACCAAAGCGCACACACACACACACACACACACATATATATATATATATATATATATATATATATATATATATATATATATATATATATATATATCACTGTGTGTGCGCTAACTGTAATATGAGACTCCTGAGGGGCGGACTAGGGCCCAAGCGCTAATCAATAATCAATATAACTATTGCAATGTGTAACCCGATCCAAATATCAACCTGTTGCGGCATGCAACCCGATCCAAATATCAATCTATTGCGGCGTGCAACACGATCCGAATATCAATATGTTGCGGCGTGCAATCTGATACAACATAACTCACAACATAGCTCTATGGCCCACATCAGTAATCAATATGCTCAAGTCTCAATGGCTAACATCTCCCAGAAACATAATCCAATTATACAACACGGAGTATCACAATGTGCCACAAATACAGCTCAAACTTGTCTCACGTACAAGGACACCAACAACATGTGAGACAACATATCTAAAGTGTAAAAAGATAGAGATATAACATGCATATATAACTATCATGATTGAACAGTATGGCTATGGCAAAGGCAAATATCTCAATACAAAAATAACCCTATCATATCTCAAACAATTAAGCAAATAACTTATACATGATTTCTAGCATGAATAATAATTCAGGTAGTCATACTAATGGAGAAAACATGATATAAAAGAAGCATGATAGCAAAACAAGGCATATAATAGCCTATGAACTACTCGAATCATTAACACCCCGGTGCGCGCACACACGCCCATCACCTATCACGTGTTTTACCCCCACAAATCTCAAATATCATAGTTTTTAGGGATAATTACACTCAAAATTCAAGTTTAGATATGTTACTTACTCCGAACAATCCAAAACAATACTCTAAAAATGCCATCTCGCACGAATCGACCTTCGAACCGCTCGAAACTAGCCAAAAGCAATTGCAAAATATCAATGCCATTACAAACAAACCAAATGATAAAAGGTCGAATCCTTAATCAAATACTCAAAGTCAACCTAAAAATCAACCCAGGCCCACACATCGGAACCTGATAAACTCACAATTCTGACAACCCATTCGAATACGAGTTTAACCATACTTATTTATCCTCAAATCTAACTCCGAATCGATGTTCAAATCTCAAATATTCACTTTATAAAAGTTTTGACAAAAATCCCCCAATTTTTCCTTTTGATCCGTAAACAAAATTCCAAAGTCGAAGATGGAACTATGTAAAATAACCAAATCCGAGTAAAAATATACTCACCCCAATCTAAATCATGAAAATCACCTCAAGAATCACCCAAATCCAAGCTCCCAATCTCAAAATATGATAAAAATAACTCAAAGTCAGAAATGGAGATTATAACATTGCTTTAGGAATACCCATCACGATCGTGGGAATATCTTCGCAATTGCGAAGCACAAAAGTCACTTCCAAAGAAGAAGCTCCGTGTTCGCGTCACTAGTATCGCGAACATGATGAACAAATCAGCCAAACTTGCGCGAACACGGATTCCTAGTAGCGAACACGTAGTGTAAATACCAAGCCCATCAAACAACCTTCGCGAACGTGGTCCCTCACCCGCGAACGTGAAGAACAAAACTCCTTTAGCTTACCTATCTCTTCGCGAACACGATCACTACTCGCGATCGCGATGCCTTACCTGACACCAGCAAACCAACAACACAAAACCCATCCAAAATGATCTGAACCTCACCTGAGCCCCTCTTGACCCCGTCCGAACATACCAACAAGTCCCAAAATATAACACGGACCTACTCGAGGCCTCAAATTCCACAAAATAACATCAAAACTACGAATCGCACCTTAAGCTTAATGAACTATTTCAAACTTCTAATTTCCAAACTTACGCCGAACACATAGAAACAACTCGGGATCGCCTCAAATTTGCACACAAGTTTCAAATGACATAATGAACCCATTCCAACTCCCTTTACAACAATCTGAACCCAATAACATCGAAGTCAGCTTCCTGTCAAACTTATGAACTTTTCAAACCTTCAAATTGTCAACCTTTGTCAATTAGAGCCAAAACCTTCTAGAAACATCCAAATGCAAATTCGGACATAAGCCCAAGCCCATAATCACCTCCTGAACCTCACGAAATCATAAAAACTCCGATCTGAGGTCAAATATACTAAAGTCAAGCTTGGTCAACTCTTCCAGCTAAAAGCTTTCTAGTTGAGAATCATTCTTCTAAATCAATCCCGACCCACTCGAAAACGAAAACCGATGATAAATGCAAGTCATCTTACACCATGTGAAGCTATTGACCTCACACCACCGAACTTAATGCAAATGCTCAAAACGACTGTTCGGGTCATTACAATAGCATAGTCAAATCAAATTAAAAAAAATAAAAAGACAAAAGAAGAAGAATAGAGCCCCATTTAGCTTCTATGTATTGACAATGGAGTAATAGAACCACAGTTTGCTACAAACTAAATTTGGGATATACTTCTAATTTTAGGTCAGACAACTCCAGCAATATACTTTGTTTTTCCCTCGATTAATTAGGGATACGATATTATTCAGAAATATGAATGAAATTCATATTGTCAATCTACAAAAATAGGGTAATGTTTAGACGCAGCACTACTAGGATGCCGGAAATTTCTTCATTGTACAAGGTGGTAGATCGTACATGCGTAAATCTCAATTGTTATGGAGAGTTCCTTTATGGTTGCATCTCATAATCTGAAAATTAGACTTTAAAGTCTAATCCTTTAATACAAGCTAAGTTTGTAATGCATTAGTGCCTTTAATTTACCGATTGATACTCCGTCGAGTAAACCAGATCATTACAACTTCAAGGCTAAGTTTTTGTTAACAACTTCTCCAAATTAACTTGTAACGTTAGAAAAGTAAAAGTTTGACCTGCCATCAGTCATCTTAATTAACTACTCAAGTAAAGGACATAAACACTTTTGTCCTCTTAGGATATTTCTTAACAATTACAAAATTCTTCAAATACATTTCTAGCAAAATCATCACCAAATCTCTAAATTTTATTGCTCATATTCATACAATTGTGCGCAAGATACACATACATGCGCAAGTACTATTTTTCAAAATCATAACATGTCATGCAACTTCTCGGAACAATAGCTTGATCATACTTGCAGAACAGCCACGACTCCTAGTGTTAGCACCACGAGCAACACCAAAGCATGGAGTCGAGGAAACCACATAATCATCTTCGTGATCATCAAATGAATATCTTGGACATGAAAATCCAACTTGTCGCCGTGCATATGGAGATGTTAGAACAGAATACGATGTTGATGAGGATAACGGAGATGAATTAGAACTAGTAGGGGATGATAGAAGCCTACTTTTCTTGAGGTTGAATCTAGGAAGGAAAAGAACAGTTTGTAAGAGGTTGGATTTCTTTAGTGTATTTTTTTCCTTATTGACATGAAAAGAAGGTGGAGGAGTGAGTACTGGAGGGAATGAGATTTCAGAGAAGTTGCATTTGGGAGTTCCTGGTTGCGATTCCCACATGAATGGAACTGCCGCTGATGCATTTCTATAATAAACTTCAAAGCTAGAATTGTCCATGGACAACTCCCTGCTTAAACGCCTACAACACAACTTTTCCTCTGACTTCATCTTTATTGCCATTTATTTGTCCATGAAGAGCTAGCTTGAAGATGAAGTGAAAGAAAACTTCATGAAGAATTTAGGTGAATTATTGCGTATTGGATTCTGAGTAGAAACGAAGTGCTTATATATAGTTGGAGAAGTAAATAATTAAATAATAGTATATATCCAAAAGACTTACCATTTTTATCAAACCGCAATAGCTTACCATGATTAGTGAAAAAGTAATGTGAAAGTATATATTAATTAACAACAATTTTTTATTAGGAATTTATATAAGCTTATTTCATGCACTAATTTAAATGATATAAACATCAGATCCGAATTTCTCGTCCAATTATTTTGGTGCGGATAAGTGTTTAGGGTATATCCAAGCAAGATTGGTTACCTAAACGGAAGGTCAACTCTACACTATCTTAATAAACTATCACGTGACATCTACATCTCATGACATATACTACTTAAAATTTCAAAAGTTGAACTTTAGCGTCGTTGACTATTTAAGGTTTTCGACCACTACTTCACCAACATGGAAGCTACTAACAAGGGCCTATGACTACGGAGATGGAAACCGATCTTAATGGTAGACCACCTGCAGCTCTCATGTGCCACATGCTGATCGAAATCACTATTTAAATTGGCCTGAAAATTAATCGATTTTAAATTGCAGGAGTGTATCTGTAACTTCTGTGCATTATTTATTAGAGTGCAAATTGACTTGGAGAGTGTTTGGCTAAGCTTATAAGCTGGTCAAACTAGTTTATAAATACTTTTTGGTTTATCTACGCGTTTGGTAAAGTTAAAAGTGCTTATAAGTTAAGTGCTTGTAAGTCAAAAATAAGCCAAAAGCCGTAAGTTGGTCACCCCCAGCTTATGAATTTTTAGCTTATAAGGACTTTAAGTTTGACCAAGAATTTTACTATTTTATCCTTAAAATATTTCATTTTAGAACAAAACTCCTACATCGATACTTACTGCCTCAATTATTCATCCTAATCCTCCTCCTCCCCCCCTACCCCCCCCCCCCCCCCCGGCCCCTCCTCTCCACCTCTTCAAGTCTGCAATTCTCATTGACTGTTTAAGATAAACGAATTCTCTATTCCTTTGCATACTTATATCTATGTGATTGTGTATTAATCTTTGAACTTTATATAATAAATAAGTACATATCAAATTTTTGGTGTATTGCCTTCTAAGTGTTGTGGTGATGAAAATAATGTTTGTTTCTCTTCAAATAATTTGTCCTATTTAGGTTTATTTTTTACTGAGAAACTTTTGTCAATTTATTAATTATTATAACTTATGATTATATGCTTATCATAAAATAAATTATATTTATCATAAAATTATCTTATCTAAGCATAGTTGTATTTAAAATAAAATGACAAGTAGAATATTTTATATTTGAATCGATTTGGAATCTAAAAGTTTGAAGAAATTACGCCCTTATATGTGTAAACAGTTCTAAGGTTATTTAAGTCATTTTAACAGAAAAAAGAGCTTATCAGCCCTTTTTTATCAAATATTGCAGCAACTTATTATCAATTTCAGCACTTGTACCCAAACACGTAACTGCTTATTTATTAAATCAGTTTCAGCACTTAAATATGCTTTTCAGCACCTAACACTTATCAGCTACTTCAAATTAGCTTATCCAAATGGGCTCTTAGTAAAATGTCACTAGAGATTGTATCTTTTTAAATAAACATGGTTCAGGTCAACCAACAGCCTTCTCTAACAACCTTAGACTTTATAAGTTTGTTTACCCTGAAATTGGATAACAATTAAATTTGTATGCGATTTTAAGGATACATAGTTTGATTCAACATAAATAATTAAGAATATTAGATAAATAAATTAAAGACGAAATAAGTGATCAAAACAATTATGATGTTATGACCAAGCCTGAACTTAGATTGAAAAGTGATCTCGTCCTCGATTGGACCCTTGGTTCGAGCCCAGTCGTGAATGAAGAAAGGATAAGCGAACAAGAACTTTATTAGTAGCTAAAAGGCAGAAAATAAACTTGTATTTCTTTGATTCGCGTGTTAGAGTGTGTGTTACGAAAGAAAAACTTCCCCTTTATATAGTAGGAGAGTTGCATCCCTAGTATAAGTCTAAAAAAGGTAAAAATCATCCTTTCTCGTTAATATCTGATCCATAACCGACATCGAGCGAGATCCACGCTGTGATATCTGGTTGAATGCAGATATAACGACCCTCTATCCGTCGTGTGTAACTGTTTACCGTATTTCCCGAGGTCTTAGAACTCATTCTTGGCCCGGGGCACGTCACTTTACCATACCCGATGACGAGCACATCATTCACTCTTCCTGGATCTCGATACGGAGGGTCTCTAACCTCGATTACAATCTCGTGCATCTGTACCCTTCTTCTGTTTTCTCACCGCGAAATTAGGGTAGACATTACCCCAGATTTTACCCGTACACAGATAGTCCCCTCATTTTTTAGAGAGTAGGTTTACCGAAATAATGGAAAGCGATTATGAAACCCTGTTCCTTACTTCGCAAGTTACAGCCGAGATGACGGGTAAATCAAAACATCCTATTATTACAACGTTCTGACTTCGGACACGTGTGTGTCACCGGTTGATTGTCCTAGAATTCGAAACGTCGCGTATTGATTGTTTTTCCTCTATTAAAACTCCGACCTTTTTTCACTTCCTCCAGTTTCCGATTCTAGAATTTACCCTAGAACTCTTTAACTGCTTTTAACTCCTCCAAATCATCATACAGTGCTCCTTGAACCTTCATATCTTCATCTTCAATCCTCATACATTTTATTTGGATCTTTAACCCAAACCTTCGTACCTTAATACCATCTTTAAATCTTCATATTTTTCTTCAAACCTTCATATTTTTCTTCAAACCTTTATATTTCCCAGATTACGATGGCAAAAACCTCCACGTTAGTGCCTCAGCAGGCTGCTCCTTCATCTTCCCACCTGGTCACAGATCCCAAAGTTGGCCGTTCCCGAGATGGCTCAGGAGCCCCCCCCCCCGACTGAGAGCTCGTACCTCGGG